TTTTTTTTTTTTTGGAAAATTTTCAGAGATTTTGGTTGATCAAATTTTTTGATTAAAAACTTCGTTGGGGAATTTGGGTCAATAACATAGTGGTTGAATATTTTCTTTTGGGAGAAGATAAACGCTTTCTTCTAGTTAGAATGTATGCTGCAGATCATGTCGGAAAATTGCCTGGAGAAACTTTGAGTTTCAAATTTACAGGGAAAAACTATGGTGCTTGGGAATTTCAGTTTAGAATGTTTTTGAAAGGAAAGGAACTCTGGAATCACATTGATTGAACATCTCCTCCTCCTAAAGAAACTAGGGAACTCAGTTAATGGGAGAGTAAGGATGCCAAAATTATTTCTTGGATTCTAGCATCCATTGAAAGTCATATGGTCAACAGCCTACGATCATTTCGTACAGCTAAACACAGATGTGAGATTTCTTGAAGCCTACGATCATTTCGTACAGCTAAACACAGATGTGAGATTTCTTGAAGCGTGTATACAATCAAGAAAAATACTGATCGGCGATTTCAACTTGAACTCGACATCAACAATTTTGGCCAAGGCAATCTTTTCATTGATCAGTATTATTCTGGTTTTATAAATCTTTGGAGTGAATATTCTGATATTCTGTATTCCAGCGTATCTAATGAGGCCTTGGCAAGCCTTCAAGAGGTTCATGAAGTGAGCAAGTGTGATCAGTTTTTGATGAAGTTGAGACAATAATTTGAGAGTGCCAGGCAGGTTTATTGAATCGAAGTCCACATTAGATGTTTGTCTTGGTGAACTACTTCGTGAAGAACAACGATTGGCTACTCTTGCTGTCATGGGTGGGGGGGGGTTCAAAAGAAACATCTCAGGTTCTCAATGTTGCTTTTGCTGCTCAAGGGAAGAATCGAGGAAAGGGTTTCGTTCAGTGCTACAGTTGCAAAGAGATATACAGTTGCAGAGATAGGACACATAGCTCGCAACTGTACCAAGAAATTCTGCAACTATTGCAAGCAAAATGGACACATCATTAAAGAGTGTTCAACAAGGCCAGAAAATCGAAAAGCACAAGCCTTTCAAGTTACTATTTCAGGTTCTCAAGTTCTTGGTTCTGCAACAAATATCACAAATCAACCTATTATGACTCTAGAAATGGTCCAACAAATGATTTGTACTACTGCATTTTCTGCTCTTGGACTCCAAGGTCAAGGTAAAATTATCTCTTCTACCTGGTTTTCTGATTCTGCAGCATCTAATCATATGACTGGTTCTCCTAAGCTTCTACATAACCTTCGGAAATATACTGGCAGGCAAAATATTCAGGTTGCTAATGGCAAAAACATTCCAATAACAACCATTGGTGATATTGGTCCTTCTTTTCGTGATGTGTTTGTCTCGCCTGAATTATCTAGTAACTTGATTTCTGTTGGACAATTGGTGGATGATGAGTGTGAAGTGCATTTTTCTCGAAATGGTTGTCTTGTGCAGGATCAAGTGTCGGGGAAGGTGATAGCGAAGGGGCTTAAAGTTGGAAGATTATTTCCATTGCAGTTTACTGCTCCACAAGCTTTATGTTTAGCTTCTATGGTAGTTGATAATAAGGCTGAAAGCTGGCATAAACGATTAGGCCACCCAACTGATGTAATTTTATCTCATTTAATGAAACAAGGTTTTTTTGGTTCCAAGGATAAGTGTCTAAATTCTGGTTTGTCTAATGGTTGTTCTACTTGCAAACTAGGGAAGAGTAAGATTTTACCTTTTCCTACTGATGGAAGTCGTACAATTAGATGTTTTGATCTAGTACATTCGGATGTTTGGGGCACTGCACCTATTACTTCACATGCTCAGTATAAATATTTTGTACGTTTATAGATGACTAGTCGCTTCACATGGAGATACATTTTCTGCGCATAAAATCTGAGGTGTTAATGTTTTCCGAACTTTTCTGGCTTATGTTAAGAGGCAATTTTCGACTTGTATCAAGGTACTTCGCTCGGATAATGGTGGTGAATATACATCACATGAATTTCAATCGTTTTTGCAGCAAAAAGGTATCATGTCTCAGCGTTCATGCCCTTATACACCCCAACAAAATGGGGTAGCTGAACGGAAAAAATCGTCACTTGTTGGATATGGTTAGAACATTATTGTTGCAATCTTCAGTTCCAGCTAAATTTTGGGTAGAAGCTTTATCCACTGCAGTCTATTTGATCAATCGATTGCCCTCTCAACAACTCTCAACAACTGACTTTTGATTCACCTTTCTACCGTTTGTTTGGCATACATCCTGATTACTCTAAGTTGTATACTTTTGGCTGTGTTTGCTTTGTTCATTTGCCTTCTCATAAGCGTCACAAACTTGCAACTCAGTCTGTTAAGTGTGCTTTTATGGGATATAGCACTGTTCACAAAGGTTTCTTGTGCTATGATGCTGTAGCTCATCGTATACGGATTTCTCGCAATGTCATTTTCTTTGAAAATGAGTTTCATTTTCAACAGCTCATCTCTCCTTCCAGCAGGGTTTTCCATCCTAGTTTTGATGACAGCCGTCAAGTTCAACAGTTAACAACTGAGCGTTTTAAACCCGACATTGTTTACCAGCGACGCCATTCTTCTACACAAGTTCAACATCCTGATCCATCTACAGCTATTCTTCGTAGATCTTCTCGCATTAGCCACCCCCCTGAACGGTATGGTTTTTCTGCCGTTCTAGCTGATACTAGCGTATCTACCTCTTTCTCTCAGGCCAAAACACAAGTATGCTGGATAAAGGCTATGGAAGAGGAACTACAAGCACTTCAAGAGAATCATACTTGGGATATCGTTTCTTGTCCTACTGGTGTTAAACCTATCGGATGTAAGTGGGTATATTCTCTTAAATTACAATCTGATGGCACGCTTGACAGACATAAAGCACGATTGGTAGCTCTTGGGAACATACATGAGTATGGGGTTGACTATGAGGAGACATTTGCTCCAGTAGCGAAGATGACAACTGTGAGGCTTGTTCTAGCTATTGCTGCTTCTAAGTGCTGGTCGTTGAGGCAAATGGATGTTAAGAATGCTTTTCTACATGAAGATCTTAAAGAAGATATTTACGTGCTTCCACCACCAGGATTATTCTCTACGCTATCTTCTTCTGATGTTTGTAAGCTTAAGCGTTCACTCTATGGATTAAAACTGGCTCCCCGTGCTTGGTTTGATAAGTTTCGATCTACACTTCTTAGGGCTTGATGTTTACAAAATATTTTACTCACTTTTATTTCAACTCAAAATTTAACTCAACTTTAACTTAACTCTACTATTTTTAATATTATTCATATAATTAAATAGTACAAACCAATCATTCTTACACATCACATCAACTTTAATTCACTATTCATCCACTCACATAATTTTAACTACCTATCATTTCCAATCATTATCTCTTACTTTTTCATCAAATCAATTTTAATCATTTTATTTTAAATATTATTTTAATATATTCTTAAAATTCCACTAACAACTAACCATACATCTTTTTCAAAATTAACTACGGTTACCAAAATAACTCATTTTGAGCAAATTATTTCATGAACAATCAAGCCCTTAGCTTCTCTTTTGCTCAGAGTAGATATGATTCCTCTTTGTTTCTTTGCAAGATTGCAAAGGGCATTGTCATGCTCTTGGTATATGTTGATGACGTTGTCATTACAGGGACAAACACTCAATTGATTTCCCAACTTCAAGACGGACTTCAGAGTGCTTTTCATATGAAAGACTTGGGTTCTTTACAGTATTTTTTAGGTCTTGAAGTGCAATCTACGTCAACTGGCATTTTCCAACACCAGCATAAATACATTCAAGATTCAAGATTTGGTTGCTTTAGCATAAATACATTCAAGATTTGGTTGCTTTGGCTGGCCTTCAACAATGTCGTTCAATTGAAACTCCTTGGAAGTCAATGTCAAATATCGACGTGACGATGGTGATTTTTTACCAAATCCTTCTTTATATCGACAACTTATTGGTAGCCTAAACTATCTGACTATTACTCGACCAGATATTTCTTTTGCAGTTCAACAAGTTAGTCAGTTTATGCAAGCACCTACCAATCTTCACTTGGCTGTTGTCGCATCATTCGATATCTACAAGGCTCGTCTACTCGTGGTCTTTTCTTCCCAGCCAATTCTTCCACACAATTAGTTGCATACAGTGATGCTGATTGGGCTGGGTGTGCTGATACGCGACGTTCTGTCACTGGTTGGTGCATGTTTCTTGGTAACTCTCTTGTTTCTTGGAAAAACAAGAAACAAGATCGCGTGTCTAAGTCATCTACTGAGTCTGAATATCGAGCTATGTCCTCTGCGTGCTCTGAAATAATTTGGCTTCGTGTGGTTACTAGGTGAGCTTGGATTTACCCAAACTAAACCTACTCCGCTTCATGCTGATAACACTAGTGCTATTCAAATAGCTGCTAATCCGGTGTTTCATGAACGCACTAAGCATATCGAGGTAGATTGTCATTCTATTTGTGAAGCATACGATGATTCTATTATCTCTCTTCCACATATCCCCACAGCTCTTCAAACTGCAGATGTTTATACTAAAGCACTTTCTTCGAATCGACATCAGTTCCTAGTTGACAAATTGATGCTTCTTGACCATCCAACATCAATTTGAGGGGGGATAACAAGGCAGAAATTATGGAGTAACTTATGGCTGACCCTTAATTGTAAAAGAGTAACTTATGGCTGACCATTAATTGACAAATTGATGCTTCTTGACCATCCAACATCAATTTGAGGGGGCATAACAAGACAGAAATTATGGAGTAACTTATGGCTGACCCTTAATTGTAAAAGAGTAACTTATGGCTGACCATTAATTGTAAATATTCAGTTATATGTTTTAGGATTAAATAGGGCGGTAGACTAGGAGCTAGATGAGCAGGTTACCTAAGATAGATTGTACACAAATTTATATTTAATGGAAAAGAGTCTAAGGAAAAAGGCATTCAGTCAAAACTTTGTTAAATCACATGTTTGGGTGAAACGGATGTTCCTAATTGATCATATGATTTTCTGGTTTTAATGGTATGTTGTTATTGTTATTGTTATTATAATCTTTTGATAAAAATTCTTCCCATTCCAATAAGATACTTGATTATGATCAACCACATAACACCAATTAACTTGTACATAATTAGATGTGGTACCTGCTAATGCTAATTGTTTTTGGTTTGTGCCACAATTTGAAACAGAAGTAACAATGACTTTTTAGTGAGGTATATTATTACACAGCAAGATAGATTCACTATTAATTGTTGATCCAAGCCCATGATTCCATGGATGTGTTCTGTACTAGCACTTTGGAAAGTTTCAGCTACCAAGAGAGACAAAAGTATCTTACTTTGTTATTATGGCTAACAACATGAATGTTTGTTAGTATATGGTTTTTCGCTCATCTTTGTAAGGTTTCTTGTGCATGATATCTTTGATATGGCTTTCTCGCCTAGCTCCATTTAAAGCCACCCTGATATGACTGGAGTTGTTTGTAGTTTGTATTGAGTGCACAACTCGTCCTTTCTTTTCCAGCATAATCGTGGATCCAACCACTCTCAACGATGGTCTACACTATTTTGAGGTCTATGCATTAGATTGTAAAGCTCCCTGGCGTGGTCCACTCTTCAGAATTCCTGTCACTATCACAAAACCTCATTCCGTGAAAAATCGACCACCTGTAATTCAATTCCAAGGGATGTCATTTGTACCAGGTACATCATATTCAAATGAAATTATGAAAATTCAGTCTAATGTCCTAATTGTTAGCTGTTACGCCAATGTGTATGTTTTGTGTTACATGTAGGATGGTTATTTAATCTCCTAATGAACATTCCATCACAATATTATATTGCTTTGGATGTTCCTTTATCTGATCTTGTCAAGATTAGAAAAATGAATTGGATGACCACCTGGAGTTGATAAATATTACAACAACAACATACCCACATACCCACATACCCAGTATATTCCGAACTGGTTGGGGTCTGGGGGTCAGTTGTACGCAGACCTACTCTTGTAATTATACAAGTGTAATTATACAAGGAGGCTGTTTCGTAGCGACCCAAGGTGCATTGCGTCGTTTGATATATATATATATATATATATATTTTTTCTAGACACTTCGAACAAGCACTAGAATTTAATTGAGCCAATTTTTATCTAGTCCATTATTAGCACTATGCCAGGAAAATTGTCAACAATGACTCTTGGAGTTGATAAATATTAATTTTGTAAATACATACGAACTGTGGTATTGCAATGGAGCATCATAATTATCATCGAGTTAAATTTTTTTTCATCTATCCAGGTTCTCGCTCATGATAGATAGAGTTCTGCTGAATATTGAATTATCATAGGATCTATAATATGCCTGTATAATAAATATAAAGTTTGGATCAGAAATCTGAAGTTGGACTCACTTTACTCTTCCAAATTACATCCGCCCCTAATATTTTTCATCCCCTTGCGACTATGTACTCCAAATTAATTTTAATGTGACCGAATGTGATTTAGATTCTTCATTTGATTGTAGGACACATTGAGCGCAAATTTGTTGAAGTACCGATTGGTGCTAGCTGGGTTGAGGTGACCATGAAGACATCTGGTTTCAGTACAGCTCGAAGATTTTTCATAGATGCCGTTCAGGTACAAGTTTGACTAGGATCTGTATTCCAATGTTTTATTCTCCTTTTTCGTTAATTCATTAGCAAGAAAATCTCCAGGGTTTGTTGACATGCCTGTGATATACAGATCTCTCCTCTGCAAAGACCTATAAAATGGGAAACTGTTGCCACATTCTCTTCTCCTTCTTCCAAAAGTTTTTCCTTTGAGGTCAAGGGTGGTCAAACTATGGAACTAGCAATTGCTCAATTTTGGGCAAGTGGTGTAGGAAGTCGTGATACAACTATTGCTGATTTTGAGGTAATATTATTTCCTGCTAATAGTTGAAGATGTTTCTAATTTGGATATAGATGACCTTATTTTGAGAACATAAGTTTGGTGCTCAGATGGTCCGGATCAAACAAGTACTTATGACTTATGCTATCTCTACCATTGACCATTGAGCAATCAAGCACTGGTCTTGGTAAATTGTACTCTTTCATGTAACCTGAGTACAGTCAATACTTGTATGCATATGTAATATTTTGTAACCTTTTTGTTCATTTTGGAAACATTTGTTTTGCAGATTCATGAAAATCCCACGCCAATCTTTAATCTTAGTATAATGTTATTAGCTTATGTTGTGATATGGATTTGCATTCTTCAGACCTAAATGTTTATGTTACTTTGTATGTTCAGATATGTATCATGGAAACACAATCAGTTTGATTCTATTTTCAGAAAAAAAATTCTAGCATTACGGGTAGGAGATATGATAGACTCTTTGCTCCTATGTGTTCTGTGTTATGCTACTGAAGTCGTCGTGAAACCCCTTTGCTTAGATA